CGTTGAGGGCCAAGTACCCCTTAAGGCTTTTTGTACTCATATATTTTCATTTATATGGGCAGCAAACAGGATATTGCTTCTTGTCCCCATTTGGAACTCTTGAAATTCTTCTGCTGTGTATCAGGAACCAGAGGGCAGGGTGGAGGATGCAGGTAATTTAAATACCACTGCTACCTGCCTATTGCACAACCTAGATGCACAAGATAATTTGTTCTCATTCTTTGGTAAAAAAAAGAAAAAAGAGAAAAAAAAAGTGTGCTAAATGGAGCAGTTACAGGTTTTTTATTTCTAAAACATCTAACTGAAAATACATGTGTAAATCAAGCATTTAAAATACAGATTCTGGATTAAAATACTGCATTATGGTAAGTGAAGATAACAGTAAAATAAAAATCATTGCTTGTCCTAATTTCTGAACAAACTCTGCAACACATGAATTAAGGATGTGCCTGGTGCAGATGGGAGATGTTAGTAACATCCTTTCTACACAGAACACATTCATGGAAGTAGCATATGCTCTGCCAGTTTTGCCTCTTTTCACTTCCAGAATTTGAAAGGAATGTGCTGTTCCCTGGACTTGCAGTAGCAAAATCTCATCCAAAGAATAAATGGTACCTAGGATATGTGTCCCACGTGGTAGGATCTGACTATGCCAATTAAAACTACTATCCCTTTTATCTTCTGTATATTTTTGTGGTTATGTATTTAATTTAATGTTTCTTAGTTGAGAGAGAGAATTTATACAGCTTTTGCATTGCATACTTTCACATACTTCTCAGATCTTTCTCTGCTTATTTGCATGAAGAGGTAGGATAAGGCCTTTGGTATTCAGCAGAGACAAAAAGCTGTTATTTTTTCTGGGTCAATCAATTTCCTTCCTTAGATCAGAGCTGGGATCTCTGAAGTGTGTATCAGAACTGAGCTTCCTGCAGTCGTAAAATTAGACCCATCACTGTCATCTCCCTGTAATAGCAACAAGAGAAAAAATGTGAAGAAGTGTAAATTTTTGTGGCTGTTCAACTCAGTCAATCAGTTCAAATTCTCTGAGGAAGAAATTCGTAATACAACCACTTACAATGTTTGTATGACATAATTTAAAAACCCTGTGCATGTTATCTTTGAATACAGCTGCTATTATATAGCATGTTATTAAACTGTTCTTTTGGTTTGCTGCATTTGATATCACTGCATTAGACTGAGGGAGAAAATGGCATGACCCACTTTGATTTAGGATGACCAATTTCACTCGTTAAGATCGTACTTTACTTTGCTGTAAGCACATACCTGGGGCTATGCCTCCTGAAAAGAAACCTAACACTTCTACATCAGGAAAATGGTGAGGCAGAGTGTTAGTGGTCCATGTGCAGACTATAAGGCTTTTACAATAAAGAGTAAATAACCCTCTGATGCTGAAATTCCCAGGAGAGGCTTATAGTTTTATAAAAAATCCAGCATTGCCATGGAAGGTCTGGTAAATCCTTTTTGTATTTTTAATGTGTGTTTCCTATAAAAACAAAGAATACCTTTTAGGGGTGATACCATTTTCCCTGTTACCCCTTAATGTAGGTTATGAGAAAAAAAAACATTAAATGGCTTTTATTATACAGGAAATGTACTTGAAGTGTAGAATGCTTGGGAACGAATGCCTGCTTTACTGCTATAAATTGTTCATGATATGTCTTTTCTTATATGCATCAAACATAGCACTTGCTGCAGAGATGCATGTGATTTGTCTTCTCTCCTGAGAGATGGTAATTGGCTTCAGTTTACTTAGGCTACTGCAGTACAATTTATTTTCTTAACTTAGCCAAGCCTAATGTTGCAGTATGTTTTCTTCTATGAGGGTGAAGTATTTAATTTGTTAAGTATTGGAGAGTATGCGTTACATTACAAAGATGAAGCACACCCCTGCTCTGTGGTGTTTAGTGGAAACAGATCACAGCACTCCACCATCCCCCTTTACCTTATCTGGTCTTGTTATTAAATTGTACGTGAACTAATTATGATCTTTTAGAAAACATCCATTGTAACTAGCTCAGTAATTTGAACACATGACTAATGAACTGTGGTTGCTATTTGTTGTGTCTATTTATAATTAAGTATTTCTGTGATTTTGAGCCTCACTCGGTGTTATTTATCTTTTCGGAGGCTTATCTTTGTCTGGATAACCAAACATTCTTCAAAATGGCAAAAATTAGAAAATAATAAAAACTTATTTTAAGTATAAGATTTTGTTGTTAGTTAATAATCTTTCCTGCTTAGATTTATGGGTTTTTTTTAATTTTATTTATCCAGATGAAGAACTAAAGAGATGAACATAAAAATAACAAATGACACTTCAAGAGAGTGTCATTTAAGTCAGTTTAAGCCCTAAATGTTAAAGCCTTTACACAATTGTGACAATTCATGTATCAATAATAATAATGTATCATGTAAATCATATACTAGAGATGAACCCTCTGAGGGCTTTCTTCATTTTATTTATTCCCATCATGATTTTACCTTCCAAATGATTAAATTTTTTTTTCAATAAAGTACAGTATGCAATTAATGATGGACTAAGAAGTGTTGAGTACTAACCATTTCCATTAATGGATTAATGAATTTCACAGTAAATACATTTGACTGTTCAGGATCTTACCTTGCCATAATGGCAGTGCTGCTTTTCTTTGTTGTGGCCAGTCTGCTCCTTCTTGGAGGAAATGGTTGGGCTTTTTTTGCCACAACACACTGATCTTTCCTCCTTTGTTAATATTACTTCAGTGCTGAATTAGCTTCAGTTAGTTCTGTAAGCTCATTACTCTTTTATGACTGTGCACATGTTAGTACTGCCACATTAGTGCATGTGAGACACCGGGACTTCTGTGAACGCTTGCTTGGGAACAGCATTAAGCTGTGCTGCCCTATGAATTAATTTGTAATGGACTGAACAGGAATATGTCTCCTTTCTGGGCATCCATGTGGAAATTTTTTTATCTAAAAACTCATTAAGGAAAAGTACCAAGCAATGAACTTATACTAGGAGAGTTACCCAGCTCTACTGTCAGCATTACTAATGCTCTCATTTTGGCAATACGTGCAGATAAGGAGTTTAATACAGAGTGGAAGGCATTTTGTCTGTGATTGGACATGTTGAAAATTCACCTGGATCACTATAGTTATACAATGACAATTTTGGGAGCTAATAAAATACAGGACCCCCCCTTTGCTGACTGGAAACAAAGGAGGACAAACAGTGGAGAAGGACTACGCGTACAATGTGGTGGGAGTATATGACCATGCTTGACTGGAATAGCCATCACTACTGGCTTGCCTAGTAGCACGTAGCGAGTTCTTTCAAGTGGCAAATGTCTTTCAAATGTTCTAGAAGTGTAGGAGAAGAGTAATGTGAGATTTAAATTATACAAACTTGATTGATTTCTGTGGGAAAAGGAATAGGTAGAAGGGAAGAAGTTGTTCACAGAAGTAGCAAAGTGTAATTAGGAGAACACACATGCCCTCAAAGCAGTTAGCCTATTTCCAATCCAGGTTAAACCAAGACCCTCAGCCATTCCTGCTACTGCACCAAAAGGATTGTCAGTGTTTTTGCACATATAGTACTTGGTAATGAAGATGGATACAATAACCTTAATTTGCAGAGTACTCTAAGAGACTCCAGGTTCCTGAAAATGAATTATGAACTGTCATTCCTCATCAGAACACTTGCCAACCTGTTCACAGAGCAAAAGTTCTGCGGATTTTAGATGCTGTTTTGAACAGGTAATATGAATAGATAAAAGGAAAATACAGTTGCTAGATATGAAGTCAGGAACCATAGAAGCAGAAGAGCTCCAAAAGTATCTGGAAGTAAATTGAATCATTTATAAGGTTAGATGAGGTAGTCAGAGGAGCGGTGGAATAAATAATGTACATGACTTTGACTTCAAGGATGTGCATACTGGCACTGACAGAAGGTAGAGGATTCTCGCATTTGGGCCTGCAGGCCAGGTGCTTGTAAGGATGCCCAGCCAAATGTGGAAGGCCATGTCTTGAGCTTTAACCCTGTATTCTAAGAGGGCCAGGGGCTAATGGCATGAGCAGGCTAGACAATTCTGCATGTTCTTAGTAAGACATTTTTTCTGGTGTAGGGAAAGCCATTCATATAAGCAAGTATGGCTTCCCTATTGCATGGTAGCCCAACTCATAACTTCATGGTTATATAATCAATTCAGTATTTAGCCAAAATATGGGTAATATGACATTATATCCACATATTAAAAAACACTGAAAACATGTCAGTGCCCAAACTCCAGGAATATTCTACTTACTGTTAATTTTTAAATACAATAATATATTTTAAATTCAATAAAATAATATGGTGTTCCAATGCCCTATATCCTTCTGCCCTTGAACGGCTTGACAACACCCATATTAAGTCAAAAGTTACTGTGTAACATCCAGATATTATGGTTATGCACACTGCTTAACACAGCTGAGTTTCAGTATGGTTCCTTTCTTGTGAGATCAAGTGAAATGGTATTTATTACTTTTGAGAATTACTGGAATAAAAAGAATCACTGTACAATGAAACCCAACTTTTATCTGTTTGCAGTGAGCACTTTGGCTGAATATTACATGGGGCCAAACAAAGGAACTTCGTTGGTGAGTTTGTTTGCATATTTAAAACATGAGCAGCTTTGGTGGCAGTACTGTGGCAAACTAATACCTTAGGTACTGAGCAGTGCCTTTATGGTTGAGAAGGGCTCTTGAGGGTTGACAGAAAGGCTGTTAGGTCATCCTGTGTTATTCCCAGACAATATGCTGGTGATAAAATGTAGAAATCAGCAAAGTCTGATTAAAGTTCTTAGATTATTTTTTTAAATTATTTTACCTAAAAGTTAAAATAAGGTACTTAGCTCTACTGAAAAAGAAAGCATTCTTTATTTGCACCAAAACCATTTTTTGTCTTGCTTTAACCAAGAGAAGGACAGAGACAAAGCAAAATTAGCACAATAAAAAAAAAAGAAATCTTTATTTTTTGGCTCATTTGTAATATTGTTTGCGTTGTTTATGATAATAACAATTTCCTGCATGCATTTCACCAACACATTACAAGTCAAAAGCATTTGTAAAAGAAAGATTCTACATTTCATGTTAGCTTGTGTATGAAACACAAAATGTCCTGATGTCCTTGGTTATACAAATGTGCCATTTTTTTCTTGGGAAGTATTTTATTTGTACAAGCCTAATGCAGCGTGATTCAAAAAAGAATAAGAATAGACTATGTAAACAGACACTGCAAGTTAGCAAGGATTTAACGAACTATGAGACTATCTTGGAACTTCTGATGCAAACAGTGCTAGAAATTTGCACGATCCCCTAATGCTTTCCTTGTTATGTCCTGTAACTATTTGGAAACAAGCTGGGTTCCAGATTTACACAATTTACTTCACATTGAAATATATGCAGATATAGTATTAAAACAAGATAGTCTACAAATACTCACTTTTTTTTCTCATAGTGTGATTATGCCGGTTTGGAATTACTGCGGTTAGAAAACAAGCCATGTGAATGAGAAAAGAAATATAAGAAACAGTGATCTAAACTTGAAGACACTTTTCTTATATACAAAACTGTTGCCAAATGGTATTTCTTTACATTATTTATATATGCTAACCACATTTTCAACAGGTTAAACAGTTTGTAATATGGCCTGTACAGTCTGATTCTACACCATATAGCAGCCACTTCAAATTTAAAATGCAAAATTAAAAAAGCTCATAAATAGCTGCAAACTATTGCTTAATGATTTGAAAGAATGAGGTCTGGTTGGACAATTTGATTCACTTCACCACTGACACATGGTTTCCTGTAGTGGAGACTGTGGACAGTGGAAGGACCAAGGTACAGCAGCAAAAGCATTGCAATGCATCAGTGATACTCTCCTAACTATCTATAATGACACAGAATATAACATGTCTTGTGAATTAACCATACTGTGGTACATATCTGATGCAATTCAATGTGGCAAAGCCATTTAATTGTTTGCTCAAATATGCACATCAGTATGCAGGTAATATTTACATGGAAAAGGGTATTTTATGGATTCATTGGATGTTGGCCATAATGAGAGAAGACAGCAACCAAAGAACAGTCTAGGAAAAAATCTGAGCTGTTTAAAAAAAAAAGAAGAAAACAAAAGAGCTCCCAGATATATTTTGGTGAAGCTATTTTTCTAGTGCAGAAACCACACAATATTTTTTGAGCTGTAAATATTTTAACAAAACCATGAACTTGTTCATGTTTAATGATTCACATAAAAATAAGTCATTGCAGATTCCTGTAAAATAGAGGAGGCTTTCCAGGCACATTAATCTGGATGCACATAATCTGGATGCAGCCATACAAGTAGTTAGAACACCTCAAATTTAAGAGCAACCCTGACATGAAAGTTCTTAAAATCTTTAGCTTTGTGCAATGTCATATTTTTATTTATGCATGAGTGACAAGTGCAGCATGCCTATGCAAATCACTTTTATCTGTACATTATAGAGAATCTGAGAGTAGAACTCCTGGTCCTCAAACCTCTTTCCCCAACATAAAACCTATTACAAAAATAGTCACATATAATAGTAAACAACCTGTGAATTAAAAAATGATAAATACACTAATATCGATTTTGTAAAAATATGACAAATGTAGCTGTTGCATTACAAACAGTGAAGAGAATTACTGTTCTACATATTGTGAAACATAAAGTATCCTTTTGCACTCATTTCATGCTCTGTCTTCTCTGCGGAGCCACTTTTCCCCTCATTCTTAGCAGTGTCAGCTGTAGTGAAAACAGTAACCTCTTGTCAAGTTTTTTACCCTGATTGACAGAGTCACAGTCTGATGATGGAGGTTCACTGTTTTGTTATAGGCACTGACCTTAAGTATATATATAATGTATATATATGCACACACATGCGCGCGCACACACACACACACATATATGTGTAAAAACTGTCAGTTTGGCATAAACCTCCTGCAGGAGTCCAGTTGTTGCTTCATTCTCAAAGACTGTAAACATGTTGTCCCACAAGAAAAATTCTTAGATTGTTATTTTTTATTTTCCCTGATGTCTTTACCTTTGTAGTTCTTTTCTGCTTTATCTTTCTCATATTTTTCTTTGTCTGGCTTTGTTACACTGTCATAAGAAGGTGGGGAAGTTGTAGAGGAACTCTCATCTGTTTTTTCCGGAGTGGAGTTCCCCTTTAGTTTATCAATAATTATCTCTTTTATAACTTGTCCATCTCCTTCTTTGTTTTTATTTCTATTATACATACTAGACACCTGTTTAACTTTTTGCCTTAAAAGATAACATCTGTAAGCACGCTGAATGATGACAGCAGACACCTCCTCCTGCTTTCGTTTCAATGTGGTTGTAATTGGTTCATAGGAGACTTTAGAAGGATTGGCTGCCATAAATCGATCTTCCATCTGTATTCTGAGGGCGTCCATCTCACCACTTTCCCCCAAAACACGCTTTGTGAAAGCAAACAGGATGTCAAGGCAGTGAATTCTGTCACCACTCACCATGGGCAGATCCATTGCAATGAGCTGGACTTTGTTCGGTTTTGCGATGAGAAGAGGCGGATCTAATGAAGCTGCAAAATCTGATAGTTTGCTATATTCTATGAATTGTGTTGCATCGGGATCAAATTTCTCCCAGACCTCATAGAACATCTCAAAGTCGTCCTCGCTCAAGGGTTCAGCGCTTTCCTCAGTAGCAACACTGAAGTTCTCCAAAATCACAGCAATGTACATGTTCACCACTACCAGAAAGGAGATGATAATGTAGCTGACAAAGAAGAAAATCCCAACAGAAGGATTGCC